ATATGATGAATTTGCTTGGTGTTTTTTTCACTTAAATTTCTTGTGAACTTGCAACATAAGCAGACTGATAATAGAAGTACTTATCACGATCTAGCGACATAGAATAGAATAGAAGTACGATCTAGCAACAATTAGTCTTTCGTGAAAAAATTTATACTATGTAAATTAAATATCATCGACATAATTTCAGCATCGAATATGATGCATTTATATATTTATATACTGAGGATGAAAATATAACAGGTCAAAAACAGTCTATTGGGCCTGAAGCAGCGGCTCACATTACCAAATGGGGTACCCGCACATCGGAGGTGGGGGGGGGAGAGGGGAGGGGTGTGAGGGATCAGCTCAGCAGCCCAAGCACCCTTTGCTTTGTGACACGTCTGCCCAAGTCTATGCACAACCAAGTTGTGTTCTATTACTAAAATTTTTCACTTTATTTATCATAAAGTAAATATAATATGTTATTTAATTGAAAGAATGGGTATCAAAGCCTAAATTACCTTTTGATGAATTGAAAATTCAATGATGAATTTTGCAATCATCACGTCCTTGAACCGGAAAAATGAAATAAATAACATGGGAAAAAATGAAATTAATGGTAAATCATGTTTTATGTTTTTTTTTTTTTAAGATCGCACTGTAAATAGCAAAGAATGTGCTGACAGTAGTCAAAGTTCATTGATGACATGTGCACTGTTGTGAGGGTAGCACTACATGTGCACTGTTGTGAGGGTAGCACTACATGTGCTGATGTGCACTGTTGTGAGAGGGCACTACACAGAGTGTAGGGCAGCCCGACGCAGGCCTGCTCTCGCATGAAATTCCTTTGACACCACAGCGGCCAGACGTAAGATAGTAGTCATGGCAGTGACCGCGATCACCCTCGCTTCGGAGTTCGGGCGGTTCTCCATACCCCCCTTAAGCAGGCCAAGAGATTTCCATAATAAGTATTAAGTAAGAAGATTCCAACCCTGCTTACTTTCTAGCTAAGTAGTTAGTACTTAGTGTTAGTGGCAAAGCAAAGTTTTTAGTCTCTTCCTTTAAGAATTTGGAGCTATATGATTAGACTAGCAGAGCCTCAGACCAGAGGTGAATTATCATTGACAATATATTCATGGATTGCATCATTGCAATATTTAATATCATACAAGAATAAATAATTCAATATATTTTTTATTTAGAATAGGGAATTGAAAATGAACTGGATTTATAGAAGTTCTTGTTTGCAAATATGCTTTCCAAGTTTCCAAACATACAATTTAGTCAAATAATTAAAACTTCACAGCCCTTGAATGATTAATTGAAGCCCTTGAATGATTATTTCCCCCAAAACTAGTATGGAATATATCTACTTGGCGAGCTGCAACTGAATTTTTTGAGCCGTGGTTTTATGGATTTGCCAGCCGTGATTCCATTTCTACGAGCCATGATTCTATTTCACCGAGTGGATTGCGGAAGTTGAAAATTTTATGAAATGACCTGTTTGCAAAGTGCAAACCGCAATTTTTTAATCAAACAAAAATTTATGACATTTGAGCCGCGAGATTTCATACCTACTGAAATTATATGATATTAGAGCCGCGAGATTTCATACCTACTGAAATTATATGATATTAGAGCCGCGATATTTCAGACAAAAATAGGACTTTTCCAGACTAGCCCCAAAAATGAACTAATATAATTTAAATCACTTGATTTGATTTTATATAGCCTACCTATACTGAAAGTGAAATACGTGTTATGGTGTAAAGTTGTATGTTATCTGAAATTGCCAGTAGAGTAATTTACAAGTTGGCGAGAGCACGTTGTGATGGCACGATAATATTCATAACTCATTAAAAAGTGCTGAATTAAAATCTAATTTAAACAAAATTTGTACTTAGTATTTATCAAAAACCTATACAATATTTAATCATCACCTTATCTCACTGATGGAACAATTTTTTCAGGAAGACCACAATACCGGCATTGCCGTGTTAAAAAAGGCAACGTTCCTAAACTAAAGCACAAGCCAAATTATAACGTATTTAGGGGTCCAAAGGAATCTTTAAATTATCCAATATTATAATCATTTTATATAAATAAGAATTTTGATAACACAAATATAAAAGACAACTGTTTTAAAACCGAAAGGAGGCACATGATTCCACAACGATACAAGTTGCAGCGAGATAAACAACCCAAGACTTGAAGCTCGTAGCGCCTGCTATAGTTGCCAGGTATACTTTGTGCAGCTGAAGATTAGCGGGACAAGTTTATGCAGATATTTTCCTATTGAATAAATGTACAATAATTATTTCATTTTTGAAATTGATTTTCATCCCAATGTAATAGAAACAAGCTTCATAAATTTTCATGGATTCCGTATTGATGAATATGGAACGTTTGGCAACTACTTATTGACGTAACAAAACAAATGAAGAACAAGTTGCGTATACGCCAACAAAGAGAAAAATTGTATGGCCAACCACTACAAAACTTCCCCATAATAAATCTGATTAATTTTGTCAAAACTTTGAACGTTAAGAAGTAAATATTAGATACGATGTCCCGGTTCAAACAATCCAATTAAATGATTTACCGAAATAACATACGCTTCAAATTATGGTGTGAATTAGATTAGTATAGTTATTCAGCCTATAGAATATATTTTTCCAAATTTTCCTTCAAGCCGGTTTCAAGAATTTGCAATTAATTTCAGTAAAATTACAATTACTAATTATATTATCAATACCAAACAACGTTGTGATGTCCGAAGAGGTTTATTAGGAGACACTGCATACAGTTTGGTCCCAATCGTTTATGTCTTTACTAATTCAGTATTGTCTCGAAAAATGTAACTAGTGTTTCATTTTATGGTCTGTAAATGCATTCTTACAATATGATACTACAGTACACACAGTGTATACAAGTTAGTATCAGAAGGCAGAATAAGCTTGTTTCAACACGGGTGGTTTGATTAACTAATGTCATCTGAAGAATATTGTTCGACCCTGAAAATTTAAATTGACGAATTCTCTGGCCATTAACCACCCGTGTTGAAAGTGTATACAGTATATGATCCCTGTATAGTTCAAACAGCATACAGTTCAATGTTTGCAGTTGCCAATGAATTTATAAAACAACACTCGATATAAGACATTCGTTTGCTTATCTACTTGAGTAAACTAAATTACCTATGTTACACGCTGTAAACAGGACACGCTCGCTTATACGAAAGACGTATCTAGTATATTGAATTGAATAACAGCTTCTACATTAGTTTGTAGAATTAGAGCTCAGCATAACGGATTTCTGACCACTGTGACGTCGTATATAGAGTATAATTTGGTCATTCAACTCGCTTCAAGTGCAGTTTTGAGTAACAGGTGTGAGAAACCATGGTGTGCGTGCGTCATTAATTGCAGAAAAATATTGCCTTCGTGATTTTTAATGCGAGAGCTGTTTTGTAAAAACACAGTAATTTGAACGTCATATCAGGTTACTGGGTTGATTTCGTTCCAATATCGAAGGAAAATTATTCTTTTCTGTTAGCAAGGTGAAGAGTTACCGTTTCCATTTCATTAAAAGTCGTGTAAGAGTTAGCGAAAATCAATATGAAACTCAGTTATCCATTGCACATGGCCGACCTTTCTATTTTATTCTAGAGATAAGCTCATAAATTAACAATAGCAACGTTTCTTACATTTTGAATGGTTAAATCAGTAGTTAAGTATGAATCTTGAAGTCACTGAAGTCCAAGACGAATTGCAGTGCAATACATCGTTTTTCCAGCGACGAGTTCCGCCTCGGTCGTAGCAGTCTAGCCCTTGGTTTATCCGCTCCGACGCCATGAATAATAATTTTTTCCAATATTCTTTCTAGGATACAAAGATATTTAACTTAAACGATGATTTTTGCTTAAAAACTTGCAATGTAAGCAATTAACTTCGAATAGTCGAAACTTCCATAGCGAAAAATTTTTATGACTTACTTCTAAAATCTGATAATATATTGAGGTACTATTAGATATAAGTTTATAAGCTGTACATTAACTAAGATGGGTGAAACCTTGAACTTTGTAATAGGATTGGGAAATTTCAGTTATTTCTCTCTCATGTTGGTGTCAATAACACTTCGAGCTCTTTGACGTTCCGCGTAAAACACCCATCTCAGCGTAAAACACCCATCTTAGCGTAAAACATCTTAATTCCTTCTCGTGGTTTTAACCACAATTTCCTACCAAAATAAACACAAAATGTCACAACGGAAAAGGCAAAAGATGGTAATAGCAGACAAGACTTGAGAGGGGAAGGAGCGCTGGCTCAGTTCACCACGACGGAGCACTGGGATCAAGCAGAGACCGTGACAGGTTTTTTTAGCCTCTCGCGGCAGCCACTTGCTCTCTTTACTCTCTTTTTTGAGATTGAATTTTGTCCCTTTTCTTAGCTCACTTGTTAGAGAGTAAATTTTGCATTTTGCGTTAAAAGCTCTGAGTTTCTTGTAAGCTTGCTTAAGAACGTTGAGATTTGGTTTTAGTAGATGTGCATTTAATTAATCAACATCACTTACTACGTTTCCTAAGGATTAGACGTAGGTAATGAACGTAATCCAGCAATGCACCTAACGACCAGAGAATGACAAACAAATTGAGGCTTACGAGACAACATTTCTCTATAAAAACAGAAATTAGAAGTACCAATAACAAGACTATGTTTGAGGAGAAGTAATCTGGGTTTAAATACGTCAGGGGATCAGCTTCACTAAAAAATTGTTTTGTGCATAGTAAAAAGAAATTTACACCAACAGTCTGGGTAGCTAGGCCTACTCTAGTACATACACGTTACAGCTGTAAAATGATGCAGTGATTACATGATATTTTAAATTAAAAATGGTAAACATTGTATGAGGTTCCCACAAATAAATCAGATAAATAAAAATTTTATCTTTTAATTTAATTCATCATGTTTTCAATATGGGTGGATTTTTGCACGTTTAGATGCAACAACAATACTCACATGGTACTCAGGCATAATGGCGTCACGGCACGTATCACATCTTTCCTAGGTCAGGTTTATTCCGGCAGTATTCACTTATTTTCTATTCGGAAATCGATCAAGAAAAACTGCAGATCGTCTTCGCAAGTTCGTTGAGTGTCCGCAAACTGTTTTTCCATTTCATAAATTCGAATAATTGGATTTCTATCACATAAATAAACTGCACCAAAATTGTGTAAGCAAGTCACATCAACATTTACAGCGGAAAATCACTCAATGAAGGCGTGACCAAAAATATATAAACCGGCACACTGTGTTCAGTTCAACATTTATTTCGAAGATATCGATGTATAAACCCCCTCACAATTAACTCTGCAATTCAGTAGGAACAAGAATTAAACAAAAATTTAAGCCTAATACTCGTATAAGTTAAGAATAGAAGATCGTGATCACACATCAAAGTCAAGGAGCAAGCACGGCTCGACCACAGATGCTGTCACTACATCAAAGAGCTCCCGGTCTCTAAAGGAGCCACATTGCCGATAGTCTCGCGGAGCGAATGGAGCACCGCAAGCCTGCGAGCTACTGGCGGACGACTGCTCGACGCAACACTCCACGTGTTTACTGCGCCTTCATTTCATGTTCTCCCTGCTTATTCTCCTTCTTTTGAGATCATTTGCTTGTATTTTTGCACTTTATGCACACTATATTCAGACACTCGACTCCCATGACACGGTTTGAGTCACTGTTGTAAGTTTAGTTAACCGCCAAATTAGCGCAGTTGGCTCAAAGAAAACGGCTCAAATGAAGCGGTGGACCAGGTGAAGTTTCCTCAAAAGAAAACGTTCGGGGAGGTGTCACTTGCTCTCGTTTATTTTGCCTCCTCCCGTGCTCCTGACTGGTCGACGCCGCCCACCCTCACCTCCGTCTTCTTTCCCCATCTGTTTCTGCTGGCAAGTTTTACTGTTAGCTCAGCCTCTTCGCAGTCACGCCTGTAACATTCCGTCACTTGACATTACTGAAGCTCGCGTGCTAGGCTGGTGGTGGGAGGAGCATGTCCTTGCAACTGCGCGCTTCACAGCCAATTTATTGTTAGAGTCTTGATGACATTGCTCATAAACGCTGACATTATTGTTTCTTTTTTCTGGTCTTAATTTTAATGTGTTTAAATTGCTTATGTTGTTGATCATACTTGTTGATGCTTGTAGATTTAAATTGAGCTAGTTACCGAAACGTTTTCGATGAAACTATTAAGAATTTTCATGTTATTTTCGTTGATTTTACATTCTTAGTTAATTTGCGATTTACTATCATTAGTTAAGGAATAAAAAACTAATTAGGAATATTAAGTCTTGCAATGTCCATGAAATTACAGAGCTTGTCCTCATTTTATGACTTTTCTTCAATATGAATTACCGACAACCTGTGATTCACGCGTTATTTGTGCAAACACATATCGGTTCTCTTACCACGTCTGATGCTTCTGCTATGGTCTAGCATTTCTCTTGTCACGGTCTTGTAGGTTCACTCGTCACGGACTGATGATTCTCACATCACGGTCTCACAGTTCTATAGTCACGGTCTGACTAGTTCGTGTAGACGCGATATTTGACGTCTAGCATGACTGTAGAGATTTGACAAACTTGAGAGGAAGACTGAAAGTTTTAACGTGTTGGCTGGAAGCCGATTAATAATTCGATTAATAATTGATCGAACTTCTATCTCTGTCGGTGTTGTTGTTGTGAGCCCTAACATTTTTTTATACCTGTATTCAGTTGCGCGCGATGCACTGATATCACAAGTCCTACGGCACTGATCACCGTAGTTATCCTTGCTTTTGTTGAATATAATTCGAAGGTTTCACTGGTACGAATGAAAAGCGTTGACGCAAGAAGCTATAATTAAGAATTGTAAGAAAGTCAATTCATTAGCAAACAAAGACTTCGTTAACATTGAAAATCAGGGATCTTTTAACGATTAGTAGTAATGAGTGTGTTAACATTCTTTCTATGCACTTAGATACAGGCAGTGATACTATACTACTGCCTACAAACCTTCGTTGTGGGATTTGCATTTGCTTACAATTCAGTTCAAAACCTTGACACATTCCGTGGCGTGAAAATTTAAATGTACCATTGTCGAAATAATTTACTTGGCAATTGAACCTGCTAAAAAACTTGTGTCTGAATATTTATCTGACTCACTAAAATACATTATTAAATATTTGTTAAATTTTTGCCTATTGCAACATCAAAATACTCCACTTATATGAATCCAAAATTCTTCAATCTAATTTTTTTTCTGGAATCGCGATTGCCGTCGCTCTTTCGTGTCTGGCACACTTAAAAACAATATTATTATCGTTAATAATAAATAATAATATTTAAGAATGCTATTCTCTAATATAAATATATAAGAAAAATAATATTCTTATTCATATAATATTATTATACTTAATATAATAAAATATTAAAATAATACTCTGCCAGGATCAAGCCAGACTGGCAAATTTGTACGTCTCCGATGTCTGCGTAAGTAGTAACCTAAGAAATTTAACTACTGATTGCTATGGGCTTATGAACCTAGAAATTTTTAATACTTCAGAATACTGCATCCCGTTATAGATCGGAAGTATCAATTTGTAGCTAATTGGTGAAATGCTGTGACTCTTATAATAATATTTTTCGAACGTCTTTCATCTCGTACAGACTCATATTTACTCAGGTTTCTGGCAGTCTTTCCTCTTCATTAGCCTCGTTCTGTGACAGACTCTCCCTTCATTACTTCTTTCATGGCGAAAGTTTTCTTCATTATTATCTTTTCTTGATTGATGATCTTCATTACCCTCTTCTGCCGTCATTTTCATTACCCACGTTTTGTGATAGATGATTTCTTTATTACCCTAATTCATTGACGCATGTTATAATCAGTACAATCGTTTCATTATGGAAATTATATTTATAATTCAAGTTATATTATGGACGTTCTCGTTGTTTGTTCTTTCAACAGTCCAAATTTTTGTTTAAATATTCAGTGTTCACCCGAGATTCTTTTTGCCGCATTAATTAGATTTGGATATCAATTGGAAACTTTGCGTACCTCCATATACTTGCAGTTGTGCTGCAGCAGTTCAAGACTTGAATGCGTCTGGTGAGGCCTCCTCTGGAGCCACCGATGTACTCAGCGTGGATCGATATCACGTCCTCTGCTGCTGGTGGTGCTGCTGCTGAGGGGCTGCTATGATGGTGCTGGTGAAGTGGTGATGATGCTACTATTGGTGCTGGTGCTGTTGCTTTCAATGCAGTCGTTGCTTTGAGGAATGCTCCTTGTGATCGTGCCGCTATTGTGCTGGATAGTACTGCTGGTATCGTTGCTGGCGATACTACTGGTGCTGCTGTTATAATGCATTTCTTTCTTATTAAAGTTTTTTCTGCCATGTTTATTTAAACTGTCATCGCTATGGGTTCTGTAAGCGGAACGTATTGTCTACGAAACTAATTTTAGGTGAAAAACATACGAAGCCACTGTACTGAAAGGACTCAAGCCATCCCGAAGACAAACAAGAACAAAATTTTTTCAATTCTAAATCCGTTTTTATATTCAACAACAAACATTTTTCAATTGAGTTAGAGGGTAGCAATTTAAATAGCATTCGTTTCTTACCAACGAAAGACGCGAAAACGATGCGATTCAATTATTGAAATTCAAAGAGCGCGTTTTGAAGGGATGTTGCGCTTGTATTTGGACCGACTCCACTCAGGGCACTTAGGGTGTAGTGAAGCACAGTGCATGTGTGGAGGCTGTAGCGATGACGCCGCTAGGTCAGATCAGCCGACACCAAAAATCAATACACGGTTACGGCAGATGTGAAAAAACTCGAGGAAGAGCATGCAGCGTGCGAAAGAAGACATGGCAGCCTCGACACATGCTGGGCCAAGGGCTACGCCAAAACGCTGCTAAATCCTATCAATTAAACACAGCTGGAAACTCCGCAGCGGGTGTCGTTCACCGCGATAGTCATTATAGGAGTTTTATATGAAAGTGATTGGAAGATATTACTAAAAATATACATATCAGTATTCATTATACCCATTCCTTTTTTATTATGCTAGGCTATGTTTTTTTTATAAAGTTTTCCTAGAATGAATCATAAATAAACAGATCAGAATTTAGGTTACATGACTTCAATTGGAATAAAGTGGAGTCTGAGTGCGAAGACCTGCAGCAAAATTTACATACCTTACTGCCCTCTTCTATTTTTCGGTTTAATATCAATAACTTCAAGGGAAGTCTAGGACAAATTTAATGTTATCCATTGAGTGATTGGATAAATTTCATTATTTTCCACTAATTATTAATTTTAACTTTATTATCTCATTTCAAATTTGATAGTTAAACATATTAAAAGTTTCTTTAGATGACGACCATCAGACACTCCGGGTTAATTTAAACCTTTATAATTTATATATATCATAGAAAATAGTAAGTATATATTCCAGTGGCCACTGCTCCTCTCATAACTGACCAGAGAAGAGGTGTGTTATTTCACTGGGCAGAACAGACGAAGTTACCGCATAAAATGTGATTGTTCGCAGGGTAAGCTCGACAAAGGAGTCGGCCTTTGCTGATAAAATTCACTTGCCAGCTTCTCATTTTAGGTGCCTAGGAAAAATAGTGCTATTTTCTCAAGTCACAGGGTAGGTTTTGTCGACTCTTACCCTAAAGGCGTATAAAATACAGCGGTTAGGAAAAACTACCTTTGTGCGTTGAGACCATAAGGTTTAAGATTGTGTGTCAGACTATATCGCTCAAGGAAAGAACACGAATCATTTTGACACTTTTGGCTAATAGGTTCATTCAGCGCTACATATAGCATTTCATACACAGTTCTCACCATTTTGATGCGTTCTATATCACCCTCACTGATACTTGCTTAGCACGATCCGAGCATGTGACGAGTATGGCAGAGCACTCGTTCTGTTTAATTTATTTACTGAGTTCAGAGTTCGTTTAGGCGATGATAAGAAAGGAAGATCGTTGATGAGAATCGGATAAGTCTGCGCCGAGCATTGAAGGAGCCATTATTGTGGCACTCCTGGACTCACGCCTACCAACCTTGCGACCGCAGGGAGCGCTTCATGTTCAATGATTCGAAGTTGCTGCGTGTTGGCAATTAACAAATTTAATATTCTTTGATGTATTCCTTTTTTATTAGATATCACATGTTATTTGTTTTTATTATATTTAAAATTAAAAATTAGATCAAATATCTCGCTATCTGCCGATAGTAGCAAGAAAGACTCTTTTATGTAACACGTTGTCGCTCGACTAAACCTGTGGCCAGATACGAGTGACCCGACATCAAACCAATGGTCTGATTTTTAACTAAAATGCCTTCAAAGCAAAATTCACATCTCACCTAAAGATATAATGGATTGATATTTGTTTTGCGTGGAATTTCAGTGTCAAATTTAAAACTAAATTTGTTGGGACTGATTTAACTCGACGTAAATTCACAACAAGT